CGGCCAGCACTGCCTCCTGGCCCCATCCCGCTCCCAGTCCTGCTCCCAGTCCCACTCCCAATCCCGCTCTTTTGCTGCTCCCCCGGCTGCTCCAGCCACAGCTCCCCCCGGCCCCGTGGGTGCAGAGTCCAGCTTGGGTGACCCCACCGTGTCCCCAGGCCCGCCAGGGATGGGGACAGAGGGGAGCAGGGGTGTCTGAGCAGCCACGTTGATTTCGCTTCCTAAAAGCTCCGGATTTTGGCTTCTTTTCACAGGGAAAGGGCCCTTCTCATGTCCCCTCCCACCCCCGTGTCCCCTGCCCCCACCACGTCCCCAGTGCCTCTTGTGTCCCTTCCCCAGGGGGGTGGCAGGGGCTGTCCCCATGCTCCCTGTCCCAGTGGGTGCTGGTGGCACAGGAGAGGGGGCCCCAGAACCCACGAATGGTCCCACCCAGAGCGGGTGCTGAGCTCTCCTGAGGAGGGGGAAACCCGGAGCAGACCCTCCAGCCAGCCCTGGAAGGACCCCCTGGGTGGGCTGAGGGTGTCAGGGGACATCCCAGGGAGGCAGCCAGAGGGCTCCTGCCTGCTCAGGGGTGTCCCCTCACAGGGACATTCAGGGTGGCTCAGGGAATCCTTTGAGTCCCACTTGTCCCTGTCACCAAGCTCCCAGACTCGTTCCTGAGCCCTGCCAGGGCTGTGTCGGGTGGCAGAGTCCTGCCTCCTCCCCAAAAGATTGCCTGGGGGTCTGGGGTTGATGTCCTGGCTGGGGGGAACCTGTGAGGACAAGGACCCACCCTGGCACCCAGCGGGAGGGGGTGGGTGCTGCCAGCAGGCCAGACTGGGCTGTACTGGGAGTATGGGGCCAAACCCAGCTCCCCCCCCAGCTCCCCATCACAAGGGCACTTAGGGGGTCCTCCCTGCACCCAGCAGGGCCAGGGCTGGGGGACACAGCTGTGAACTCCCAGGTCCTGCCCTTGGACCCCCTGGAAGCACCCTCAGCCCAGCCACAGGCTGCTGTCCCCTGTCTGAGCCTCCTCCCCAGGAACAGGCACCCGGGGGAACCCTGGGGTGGCACCATGGCTGGCACTGGCCCTGTGCACGGCCCCACGCGTGGGCTGGTGGCCAGCACCGATCCTGAGGGCAATATTTTGGGGGGGCACTGGCAGCACCACCTTGCACCACGTGTCCCTTGGGGCGGCGCGGAGGAGGGCGAAGCAGGGAGGAGCTGTGCCAGGCGGTGCCAGGGGGGTGGGGACCCCGGGGGTCCCCCAGGAGCGCAGAGGAGGGGAAGGGCCCCCGGCCCTGCCCTCGGCTTTGTTTCACACTTAAGAGTCTCTAATTAAAACCAGGCACAAAGGCCCTGGCTGGCTGCGGGCTCGAGGTGCCAGCGGGGACGGTGGTCTGTCACCAAGGGAACAGGGAGGACACACAGGGTCCCTGGCACAGGTCCCCCTGCACCCCAGGGCGTGAGCAGGCACACGTGTGCACACCCATGCACACACACACACGTGAACACACAGCACCCACAGAGGGGTGATGTGTGGGGACGTGGCAGCAGGGCTGGGGGGGTCGGGGGTGCTGAGGGGGTCACAGTGTTGGGGACTCTGTGTGTGTGACAGCTCTGCTGGCACCTGGAGGGGGGTGTGTGTGCACCCCTGTGCCCAGCTGAGCTGCACACACGCTGTGCTGTGGGTTAGGGAGGGCAGGAACCAGTGCTCAGGCCTGG